TTCAGTGCACTCTTCAATTGGCTTCTCGGTGTAAACCGTGAAGTCTTTCATGGACTTCATCTCTTTGTTCATACCAATCTTGTGGGCTTCTTCAGGGAATTCACGGGTGATGTCCCAAATGATCGGTTCCGAGAGTTTCAATTCTTCTTTGTATTCTTCACTGTCATAGTTGACTTCTACAGGAATGTCAATGCCATCTTTGGTCGTGACCTTAGCTACACCAACCTGTCCGCAGATCCAATTCGTGACAGAAGCTACCACGCAAGCAATCCTCTGCGACTTGCTCAGCGGAGGAACGGAAGGTGCATCGGGGTCAATCCTAAGAGACTTCGCTGGGCGTCCAATCTCCTCTTCAGCAGACCTGCGTACTGTCGGGGATCTCTCATTATCGCTTGTGCCAAAATGGTTTGAACCCAAAAGCACAGTCCGAACCTAAGGCACACGGAAAGCCCACACCCTTGCAAGTTCCAAGGCTTCCTTCTTTTCATCGGTGGGCGAATCAAGTATCAGTTTGAAAGGTCGATGCACATGGTTTTAGTGCATACGCCAAGCAGAAGGCGTGCGCATCACTATCTACACAACTATCTCAAGAAACCCCCCCCCTCACTATCTACACAAAGACCTCAAACCCCCTTTGAGGGCGAGGACGCTGTACACATAAGCTCAGCAGGCGGCCAGGATGGCCGGCAGGGAGTTGCGGCCGCCGCAGCGGGCCCTGCTTCGGCATGCAGTGAGTGGGCTGGACGGGAGCCAGGCCACGATATAAATTGCAACATGGCTGAGCATGCAGGGAGGCAGGGTTGCAGCAGCGGTCCCTGCACATGAATGCCCAGGGTGGGCTGGGTGGGACATACTGCCACGCGGCTCATCGGAAATGGAACGTGGCTCTGCAGAAAGCGAGGCTTGACTGCAGGCACCTGTGTCATGAATGCCCAGGGTGGGCCGGGTGGGACAAATTTTCGCACGGTGCAATGAGCCAGTGCTGCACTTCAAGGAACACACATAAAGCTGCATAAAACTCGTAATGTTGCATTTACATAGCCAAGCATGTTGCACACCAAGACAGGTCACAAGCTGCAGACAGCCTCAAAACCCTTGCATTCGCTGACCGCGGAGACATGCAGAACATGCACAGGCAAGTGTCGGGCATGTGAAATTCAAAGTATCAAAATGAACTTTTGGCTTCAAACAGTGTACAAACGGCATACCGTTTTTCACCGGGCATTATTGGAAGCAAGCGATAAAACACGATTCGCTCGCGAACAGTAAGCTTATCGCTTGTGCCAAAATGGTTTGAACCCAAAAGCACAGTCCGAACCTAAGGCACACGGAAAGCCCACACCCTTGCAAGTTCCAAGGCTTCCTTCTTTTCATCGGTGGGCGAATCAAGTATCAGTTTGAAAGGTCGATGCACATGGTTTTAGTGCATACGCCAAGCAGAAGGCGTGCGCATCACTATCTACACAACTATCTCAAGAAACCCCCAATTTAACCGAACGATTATGGTGGGCACCGTCGAGAGCAAGGCAGCTTGGAGCACAGACCCCATGCGTCCACTACCCCAAAACAGTAGGTTGCGAGTCAACGAGGTATCCCACGCTCTTCCGCCTCCAAGCCACATGTAATGTAGGACCGGGAATATCGGGATAGTAGTACGGCCTCGTAATCACCAGGGGTGAACCTCCTTACAGTGTGGCCTTACGACCGAACCACGCAATGCACACAGACCCTGGCCATTCCATGTCATATTGGGTACATGCACGACCACCAGCGTTGAAAGCGGGGGGGGGGAGAGGCACAGCTGTGCTCTGTTTTTTTCCTTTTTGTGTCCAGGTTGCTTGCATCGCAGCTGGGCACAACTTTTATCATCGGGATGACCCCACGCGTTGGTGCAAAGAGGGGCACCGTCCGAGGCATACGGCGCCACGGCACCAGTAGACACCAGTCCAGGGAGCACACACTGTTTATTCGTTACCCCAGAGGCTCACACACCAAGGGCGATCGGGCGCTGATATGACAGCAGGCGACCAGAGTGCAGACTCCGCCCTGCTTGCCCGTCCTGCGACGCGCGGGTTACAAGGCACTCCTTGTGTGACAAGACCTAAATGTTTATTCGAGGTTGGGCCAGGATTACCCTTTTCAAAGGTGGGGCCTGTCCATGACCTCTGGCTGCCACTGCGTGCACCAGAAACACTCATGCTGCCCATGTCCCTGTCCGCATCACCTGAGTTATTAAAATCAACAGCGTGCGGGTCCCAAGTCTTAGCGGGGGGGCACTTTGTCGGTTAACGGACCAATCACCAAGGCTGCCCAGGCAAGTGAAAGCCAGAAAGAACCCAACTCGTTTAAGACGAGTTAACAACTCAAAGCATTGGTCCCCGCGCAGCTCGCACACACGCTACGACTCCAGCGTGGCGGACCTCCCACTTGACGTAAGGGGGGGGGTGAGCCAGCTGTAACGCCAGACACATGCCGACTGGTCGGGCCCCCCCCCCGCCCCCCCCCCCATTCACGAGGGACATCTTGCAATAGATTCAGGCGGGCCCTTACACGTAAACCATCGTTATTATCACGACAAGCCAAAGAAACTCTCCGGGGCTGAGCATGACCCACAATCATTCACTCCTGCATTGGCACTCCGGGATTTGCGGCATGGTGATAACGACAAAACGACCCTGTGACATCATGCAGGGCATAACGCATTCTAACTTCCACAGGGTCTCACGCTTGAAACCCGACCTTTCCGAGCAGTGGGAAGGGAGCAGAAGGCGATGGGTGACCGAGCTGAGTACATGCCAGTCGTTTGGTCACGTAGACCAGCCGAACGTCAACCGCATACCTAGATTCAAAGTGAGCCCGTCAGGCGTCTGGTCGCCGAGACCCGGTGGGCACTCTCAAACATTGCTCAGGGAGATTCTGCCATGGGTGACTTGAACAATGCCCAGGAAGCTCGGCCAAGCATCAGGTCAGCAGACCGGTGAACACTAACCCTGCACCAAACGCTCAGAAGCGCGACCAAGACAACAGTAATCCAGGCATTTGTACAACTGGACCCGATGAGCGCCAACCGCTTACCAAAGGACCAGGGAGAGCACGCCAGCACGCCAGGCGTCAGGTCCACTAGGCCCTGCGGACAACTCAAACACGGCTGAGGGGAAACAAGCCATGCGTCAGGTCGGGAGACTCTGCGCGCGCATCCAGACACTAAAGGCTTAACTGTTCGGGCGCCCAGATCGTCAGGAGACACTAAAGGCTTAACTGTTCGGGCGCCCAGAACGTCAGGAGACCCGGCGACCACCCACCAGACAGAACGGCTTAAAAACTCCAGGCACTCCAATAGGGCACACTTTCAGCCGCCGAACAAGTTAACAGAATAACAGCATCCACCGCACAAGTTGACAGAAACCAGCATCCAGCCACCGCACAAGTTACATACACCTCCCCTACCTCCCCCACTTAACCGCATACTAGGCAACGCGGGACTACCTGGCCAAGGGGGGCCAGTGGAGGAAGTCGGAAATTATAGGGAGGCATGCCGGCAGAGAGTCGTCGCATGGTGACGGGCCCTGGCACTGATTGCAGCGGGAGTTGTTACAGACCCCACACGGTCATTGGAAGAAAGGACTGTGTGTCCCGCTCGAGCGCACGGCGCACTTTGTCCCCCTGGCCTGGCTTTAGCGGCAGCGGGCGACAAGGCCATTGAGACTTGGTAGCTTACAAGTGCCGGGACCAACGCATCCTCCAGTGGGAAGCTGCCAGCTTAGGGTACGCGAGGGGCAGTTTTCAGCTCGAGCAGATGGACAAACACTTGTCGAGCAACCGCCTCCAAATGTGCAACAGAGCAACCAATCTGCCATCACAACTGCTGGGTTGATGGGTGGGCCTTGCCACATTGACTGCGTACGCACACAACACATAGCACACTGCCTTGCATGGTGGCAGGTGCGGGTCCCCTGTTTACGGGGTGCAAGACTTTGCATGAATGGGCACACCGAACAAAGGGGACCCAGTGCGCGCCGGTGAGAAAAACCAGGCCCACTGAAACAGCCTAATCAGTCCAGAATGACTGTGGATTATAGCTGCCCCAACCAGAACAAAATCTTTCATCCGCAATGGTATAACTTCTGCCCGCAGGCGAGCTACAGAGAATTATCCAACATTCAATCTCGAGGGGAAACGCGTTGAACTCAACATTAAAAACATCGGATTCCCAAATCACGCAAGTAGATCTCATCACACTCCACACTCTAACACGTGCGCACTTTTTCTTCGTCGGCACGCCGAGAAAATGGGGAAAGTACGTCATGCCACTTTTTAAGTGGCCTGCACCATGGCACACGTAGTGCCATCGGCCCTCTGACACAACTGATGTGTCGGCCCCGTTTGTCTCCCCGGGTTGGGAGGGTGGGAAAGAAATTTCCTTGCTTTGCTGACTGCTGAGCCAAGCTTTGGAATGCAAGCGAAATTTCAATCACAAATTTAAACAATCCTGAAAACACATGTCCCAAGAATGTGTCATGCATGCATAAGCAAAATGCTGGTGAGTATTAAAATTCCAAACTTTTTGTTCTGGCCCAAAATTGCTTAAAGATACTCTCCGACAAACAATTTTGGTTTTGGTGCAACTATAAGGCAACGTCATGCAAGCATGAAGTATAGCTTATAGCTGCCCCAACCAGAACAAAATCTTTCATCCGCAATGGTATAACTTCTGCCCGCAGGCGAGCTACAGAGAATTATCCAACATTCAATCTCGAGGGGAAACGCGTTGAACTCAACATTAAAAACATCGGATTCCCAAATCACGCAAGTAGATCTCATCACACTCCACACTCTAACACGTGCGCACTTTTTCTTCGTCGGCACGCCGAGAAAATGGGGAAAGTACGTCATGCCACTTTTAAGTGGCCTGCACCATGGCACACGTAGTGCCATCGGCCCTCTGACACAACTGATGTGTCGGCCCCGTTTGTCTCCCCCACTTCTCTTTGGCCGGCGCATCAAGTGCTTTCAAGAGTGCAATAGGTCATCGGACATTTGACCTCGTCGCGCAAGAAATCCCCTAGGTACCGCAGTTTCTCCCACTCACCCCGGGAGGGGGCATCGGAAGGATTGCTTTCACTGGCAACCCTGTGGAACCATGCTAGGCACGGCGCCGCCTCATCCGCAGCCTCTAGTTGCATGAGCAGCTCACGCCAGGAGGTATCGGCCGCATTCCCGTTAATACAGGAGCTGTGGACACCCGTATGGTCCACGAAGAAGAAAACCCTGTTCCCTCCTATTGCCCTGGACCACAAGACCCTGGCTAAGACCACGGCATACAGCTCAACCTGGCCTATGATGTGCTTGCGCCCCCGTGCCCACCGTTGGATCAAGGCCTCAGGAACTTTGGCACCAAAGACACGGGGCTTCGACCCCGGAGCAATGAGAACGCCTCCCACAGCCGCATGAAAGGAACTTCCACAGGGGTCGCATGCTCCATCGGTAAACACGAGGACTGGGGCAGAAGCAGGGCTCGCTGAAAGCTGACGGGGGACCCCCTTCAAAAGGCGAGCACGTAGCAAGGCAACCGCATCAAACTGGGACTGGCTTAGCTCCACACTGAATGCAGCAGCCCGCTCCAGGTTCCTCAGATCGGCAATGGCCAGACGGCCCGTGCGTCCCAACATCTGCGACTCAAGAAATTGCAATCTCCCTAAAAGGGAGGGCACCTCGCGAACCAGCACCTTCCGATCCCTCAACACACTTGCAAGTGTCTCACACATCGCCGCAGCCCGCTCCTGTTTGTTTGACACGCACACGTGCCCAAAGGACGGGTCACTTGTATCCAGGACAACTCCCAGCATCTCGCTAGCAGAGCTGAAAGGTTGCTCTTTGTCACGCGATAGCGTGAACCCAAGAAGGTCCATGACCGAATGCACTGCATTATCAGTGCCCCCACTAAGCATCGCAGGAGCCATCGTTGGGTAGTCGTCATAGTAGCATGCCGCTACTACGCCGACTTCCCAAAGGATCCGCTGCAGCAACAAGGACACTCGATTGAAGTGCATCACCGAAGCCGACGAACCGAAAGGCAAGGTGTTGCATGGAAAGGCATACACCCGGTCGTCGGTAGGGTTTTTGAGAATCAGGACTGCTTTCGGCTTCTCTCCCGGGTGAAGAGGTAGTTGTTTGTACGCTGCTCTAAGGTCATAGGTCTTCGTGAGTGGACGTAGTTTCTCGCGATCCGCCCAAACCTTGTGCAACCTGCCCTCGAGGGACGTACCGTCACTCAACACAAACTTCACCCAACCGGAACCCAAGGCACACCGGAATACCTGCAGGCAAACCCAGCAAAGCTCATCCAGTGCTTTCAGGCTAACACGCTCGAAACACCCAAAACAGGAGTTCACGCCGGATTCGGAGAAGTCGTCGATTGGGCGAAGCTTTCCCTGCATTACGCTGAAGCGGCGACAAGGCGACCATCCCTGCGGGTACACTTCTTCGAGCTGCTCTCTAGTGTAAGGACCATCAAGCCAAGCCTTTGATGTTGCATCTGCTTCTTCAAGAGTGACGTTCCACAGCTCTTGCGCATGCTCACCACAAACTTGGCCGGACACCTTGTCCCACAGAGAATCCCTCAAGATGGCCGCACCTTCCCAAAAATCTTGTTCGGAGCTAAGTCCCGGCTTCTCGTCAGGATGGAAGACCCCAGTACACGGCATATAGCCAGTGAGTTTGAACCCCACCTCCAAGTCGTGATGAAGTTGCTTGTCAGGCCAATCAAGAGATTCGGCAATGCGCTTAAGAAGGCACAGGCGCTTGCCTCCCAAGACACGCCTCACTGAAGGTTCAAGTTTTTGCTTCAGGGCACGCTCCTCGCCCTCAAGCTCAACAGCCCATTGTCTCCATAGCCTGATTTTCTCCAGTCTCCGTCGCATCACCACCACCGGGCCTTGCACAAGGAGGTCGAAGAGCACGCGAACCAGTCCGTCTGGAAGGGCCCTGGCAGTATCGAAGGGGTGATCAAGCTGCTTTGCCTCACGCACGAAAACCTCTGGAGATCGATACACACCGAAAGTGTAAAACCGACAAGAAGCTGCACCCACTTGGAGCTCATCTCCAAGCTCACCTGCGCGGGTGTCGGCACCACCCCTTTCAACTGACACACGCAGCAGTTTAGACTTGGCAGGCACCTGCAACCAAGGTTTTTCCAAGCAGTTCTTAGCATTCAGCGGGGGGGCTTCGGAGGAAGCCACTGTCACGGTATGCGCAAATTCGCCGATGACAGGCGCGAAACGGCGACCTCGGGGCTGAACCTGCCCTGCTGCACGGGCATTGGCCAGCTCAGAAGTCTGAAGCTTGCTCGGAAGAAGTTGACGCTCGGCAGCGACGTCATCGATGCAGGCAACAAGCCGTTCACAGAGAAGTTTTGGGTAGGCGGCCTCCAAAGCGGTGGCATAATTGCCGTCCACAACCCAAGCATCATGCTTGGGGCAGCCCGGGCAGGGCCCGCTGAGGCGACCCAAAACTGGGTGGGAGGACAGGAAAGCTGTAGCCTTCTTGCGTGTAGAACCATGCAAGCATGCATCGAAGCTTACTAAGGTAAGTCTCTGCACCAAGGATTGGAAGCAGGGTAAGTGCCAAAGCCACGAGTGCAATGGATTTTCCACTGAGAAATGGACGCAAGCATGGTTGGACAGGAGCCATTGGCAAAAGGCAGCCGTCTCCCGATAGATAGCGTTGGCGCTAGCAACCCGAGCTGCCTCAACCTCGGACAGATCGGGCCGCCCCCATGGGTGTTGAAGGGACCTAAGCGGGCGCGGTCCCTTCCCAATGTCACGCGCACGGCTGGCCGTGCCGCACGGCGGTGCGATATGCACCCACACAACGTCGCGCGTCTCAACAAGACGCCTGATGAAGTCCCAGGTGCGTGACAAGCGCAAGTCCAGCTGCAGCACATGAACATAAGGTCTATGCTTACTATGGCCCCAATCTACCGGCACGACCGCGTACCCGGCCTCTTTTGGCTACGCAAGACAGAAGGGCAGAGCCCGCACACAACTCGAGCACAAGGGGGCGAGAAGTCGACGGCGGCTGCAGACGAGATGAGGGCTGCACGGGCGGTGCAAGAGGAACCGAGGCCTCTGCCAAGGGCTGGGCTCCTGCCGCTGGAGCGACACCTGTCGGGGGTGGCAGTTTTGTGCTGGGACTAGCTTCTAAGGGAAACCCTAAGAGCCGCAGCTCTGCCTTAGCGGGGGGCTTAAGCTTCTCCACGAAACGCACCGTGAAACCTACCAAGACAAGGCGGCGACCCTGCCATGGGAGGACGCAATGTGCATTCTCGCTGGCCGACAAGAGCAGACACGGACCATTCCAAGGCACGGGGCCACCGATGACATCGTGGCCTTGAAACTCACGGACTTCGGAGCCCTCACCCTCAACCCAAAGACAACCTCCCTTAAAGGCGGTTAGGGGAGTGATTATATTAGGGAAGGGCGCATTCTGCAGGTCCTTATGCATGGAAGAGGGACTCTGATCAAGCACGGCAATGGAAGAGAAGACACACCCGGGGGCCGCATGTTTGAGCCAGGCCACAAACAAGGCAGTGGAAGCAGGATACTTCCCAGTCGTCGTTCGCACGCCGACGACTCCGCCATGCACAAACGCGCCTGCAGTGAAGCTGCTGCCTTCAGCAGCGCGGGGGGATGGTTCTTTTGGCAAGGCGTCGAACAGGCGCACAAGGTCTGAAGCAGTCAGCTCATGATGGCCTGCCAAAGCCCAAGCCAAGGTCTCAGCTTGATCAAGATCATGTGGTTTTGCACCCTGAAAGAGAATCGGAAAAACGGCACCCCCAGCATGAAGAGGAGGTGCCAAAACAGAACTCACGTGCTCAGCTGCATGTGAATGTACGAAGCAGTTTGCTCCACGGCTCACGCGCGGCCTCTTAGGCTCCGGCTGAACCACATGTGCTGAAGGAAAACTTGCGTCGGCCGACGAGGCCGACCCGCCGGTGCCTTGCGAGGCAGCGACGCCTGGTACTACGGGAGCGCCCGGCTCGAAAACTGCATCCTCTCCGGATGCTGTGCCTGCTGAGGCACCCTTGGGACCCTGGGTCCCTAGTCAGGCCTGTCCTGACACACCGCTGCGCAAGCTGCAATCCGTTGCAGGGTGGCTTTTGCCGCACCGCGGAACAGCGCAGACATGTAAGCCTTTCGGGCACCTGCCGCGAGTGACGGTCTCGCGACAAGTTTTGAGACCGTATCCGAAACATATGGGGTCTCCGCCGTTCGTGTGGCTCCGACAGCCTTCCAGCCCCTGGGGCATTTTCATCTGCCGAACGGCAGCCTTACCTCGCTTCCCCTTTCCACGGCCCTTCCCTCCAGGAGGGGGCGGCGGAAAGCTGTAAGGCCCATTACGCTCTTTCTCAGAGCCAGCGCCAGCAGCCTTAGGCAATGGCTGCATCAAGCTGACAACCTCCGTTGAACAGGTGGCGGCTTCGAACACCTGATCCAAAGGCCTTCCCGATGCTGTGACCTGGAGGCCGGCACGTGTCTGATCAGCAAGGCACTGGAACAACTTGCGATCTGCAGCCTGCAACTGCATGAAGGTTGGTAGATTGTGAGAGGAAGGAACAACGTCCAAGCGTGCACTCAGAAGCTTCTCTACCCAACGGCTGTGATGGACAAAATCTAAGAGATTCGCCATCTCAAAAGCAATGCCTCGACGGGACAACGCAAGGTGGATGAGGAACTCACTGGACGTGTCTGCACGCCCCGGGTCAGGCTTCTCAGTCTTGAGTTTCCCCGAGCTGTCAATGGACAAGACCGACTCTCTCTTGGCACTCGTCTGTGCCTCGTGCTCTTTGCTTGTCAGACGATCCCACTCCAGGTATTGGAGGCGATTCTGCTCATAGATGGCGACACACGCATCCACCAGAGCATCTGATGGCTCCATTCGATTCCGGATGTCCAACCCCGGCAACTTCTTCACGATGGCAGCGAACCTCTCGGAGCGCTCCGGCACCGAAAGCTTCCTAGGCGCTGTTTCATCGGTCCGCTCCACCAACGAGCGCATTTCACTCGTAGTGACAGCAAAGCTCTCATGGAACAACCTGCGAAAGGCTGCCTTCTGCCCCAAACTTGCCGGGCCTCCAATTGCCGTCTCAAACGCGGCGATGAGCTCCTTGTCATCGCCCGATCCTGGCGTATAGCTTGACATGAAGGCTACCCGGGCCAGAGTAGTGATGCCAGCCCGTTTAAGGGCCGCGACATCAGCTTCTTCTAAGCCTACCTTCACACATCTCGCAGAGAACACTGGACCACTCTCCGAGTATGCAGCCATCTTTGACGGCCACCCAAACTAGGCTTGAGACCTGGCACCTGCTCAGAGCTGGTAAAGCATCTGTGTTTGCCATGACATGTAGGCAACTCTCAAGAGAGAACTCTCACATGGACGTAGAGCACGAACATCACATTCATGGACATAGAGCACATGCAAAAAGCAGGGGGGCGCAGCAAGTGAGCAAATCGTGGGCATCGCACACACCCTTTATGCTCTATGCACAAGTGAAATCTCACATCAAGCCACATATGCTCTAAAGCATTGCTTACACCTAGGATGCAAAACTGCAGGTCGCTCATGGCATCGCCCATACTGTACAGACAACGCCCTTCCACATATCAAATGTGCTCCTGCTTCATCAGCGGTTAGGTGGATGACTCTCGACTGGCGGTGCCTGAAGTACGTTGCATCACCTGGCAGCCGCCGCTCATCCACTCTGCCCGGCCACCTCTCCATAGTCCTGGCGACGGCCTGCTCATCTTCTGAGTGGTCACGTTCCTCTTCGTCGACCGAGGAGCCCGAAGACGACGCCATATCATCCTCGGAGTGAGGTGGATCCTCCTCATCGGACCTCTCACATTCCTCTGCCAGCTGTTGCCCTCTTGGGTTGTCAGGCATGAACTTCCCAGAGCGGACCTCACGCAGCATCGACGCCATGGCCCTGAGGGGGGCCGACTGAGCATCGACTTCATAGATGAGCTCCGTGCCCACACCGGCAGACTTCGAAGTATGATAGCCTAAGATGGCCCTTTGGTCCCTTGGCAGACCACGTTTGCTGGCCCATGAGAGGATTGTTCTTTTGCACGAATGCGTACCCACATTGTTCAAGTACTCATCGGGGCCCACTCCCTGGGCAAGCAGGCTCCTGAGCCACACACAAGCCTGGTCGCACGGCAGAGGCACATTCCTCCAGGTCCCGTTGGAACCCGGACACGGCAGGAGGGGCGAATCCTCGTGGATACGAATCCCACATTCTTCCATGACATCGATCCAAGCATCGGCCCACCTGAGACCCGACAGACCCAAAGCACAAGCTGCCATCGGCAAGAACCTAACCTTCCTCTCGAGGGAGAAGCTGGTCTTGCTCCTCGAAACGTGGACCTCGAGATATGCTGAGATCAGGCGCACAAAAAGGAGCTTGCACACACGCTGGGCATCGGAGAACCTGGCTCTCGCGTGCACTAGGAAAAGGAAAAAGCCCGCTGCCATCCTATCTTGCAGGGACCTCCCTTCAAGACCACAGCAAATTCTCTCAAGCAGCGCAACATGTTCGACTTTCAAGGGGTTTCGTTGAAGGAGCTTCCTCTTCTGCAAGAAAAGCCGAGCTGCCAGGCCCCGAACACGACCCGACTCCAAAATCTCATCAACACCCTTCAAGCCCACAACATACTTTGCGAAGGCAAAAGCGGAGAGAACACTCTTCAAGGAAGTCGGTGCAGCTTTGTCCTTCACATCATCGAAGTAAGAATACACAAGAGGCTCAGCGGCAGGAAAAACTATCGCAGTCTTGCCCGAAGCCCAGGCAACATACCTCATAAGAGCATTCGCACGCGAGTGCAAAGTAGACGTTGCTTTCACTGCCAAGGCATCTGCCACGCTGTTCAGAAAAGGACCAGTACCCAACCCTGCTGCCTTCGAAGCATGGAAATCACGTGCAAGTCCAAAGGCAAGGGGCTCAACAAGAATGATGCGCTGCCACTTCGCAACAGCAAGGCTGCGTTCCTCACTCTGGAGATCAATCCAAGCCTTGGGGTTCGAGTCGTACTTGCTGAAACGAGCCATCTTTTCAGCAATCTTAACAAGTCCAGAAGACTTAGAAAAAGGCTCGGAACCCTCAGCTGATTCAGGCTTCTCAAGTTCACACAAAGGCAAGGGACCTCTAGGAACCAGCTTTCTCTTTGCCGGCTGACTCACAAGGCCAATCTCCCAGGGTTGCTGCCACACGCTAGCATGATCCCTCAGGCATGACTGCAAGTGCAGGGAATACTCAGTGTGATTATCAAAAGCCATGAATGCCCAAAACCGGGACACACCCCCCCTTCACTCACGGAATTTGGGCAGGCAAGAGGCAACGCACTGAGGGCCGAGCAGGGCTCAAGAAGTCAGTGTCAAATGAAGGCTCAAACAAGTATGCGGCCAGCGCGCAACAGCCACGAGGGAAGCCCAAGACCCTTGAGGGAGAAAGAGGAGCAAGCGAGCTCCGTCGGAGCGGCTGAGTAAAACGCCGCGAAGGTTACCCTCCAAGATGTACGTATACAAATTGGGGCTTTCTTGGGAGTACTCAAGAAGGCGGTCGAAGTAGAACGAACGCGGGCGCAAACGAAGTGCAAGGAAAGTTGCAGGCCCAGGATGCTGAAGAGGCTCGGAAGCCTCGGACTCGCTGCTCCCACTGGGGGAAGAAAGCATCCGCCACCCCCGCGGGGTGGCTTGCACGGGCCCTAACGGCACTGGTTGAAAGGGGGGGCCCGTTTGGAAAAGAAGAACCTGTTGAGGACCCGCAGAGTTACTCAAGAACTGGGCCCAAAGAAATTTCCTTGCTTTGCTGACTGCTGAGCCAAGCTTTGGAATGCAAGCGAAATTTCAATCACAAATTTAAACAATCCTGAAAACACATGTCCCAAGAATGTGTCATGCATGCATAAGCAAAATGCTGGTGAGTATTAAAATTCCAAACTTTTTGTTCTGGCCCAAAATTGCTTAAAGATACTATCCGACAAACAATTTTGGTTTTGGTGCAACTATAAGGCAACGTCATGCAAGCATGAAGTATAGCGTACCGCGGTCGGCTTGGGTTCCACACGGAGTAATCAGCCTAAGCAGCCGACCCAGTCGGCCGAGGGAAAGTTTTGCTCGGGCTCCACATGAGCAGTAGCCTGAGTCAACGACTCTGCCCCCGTTGGTCGCACAGTTAACTTAACCAAGGCCTATCCCACACAGCAAATGGGGGGGACCAATCCGCGAAAGGTGCAGAGATGCTGTTGGCCGCTTGTTGGCCACTATGTCTTTACATCCACCCATGTCATAGGGCATGTGTACCAGAGGTGTTTGCAGCCAAGACGGCTGGGTCGGAAGTGCCGGCAGGAGGAGGCGCGGAAGAGCATAGGAAGAGTCCACACACCCAACAGGTTAGCTCGGCGAAGCACAAGGCCGACACACCGAAATGAAGCCATTCAGGGCTGATGGCAACGCAGCCGGATTGCCAATGTAGGTCCTCAGAAACTAGCGCAGCACTGACTGAAATTGCCTTTCAGCGACCGACACAGGCGACGCTCCCGTGTAAGACGGGCCTTCAGGAGTTTGGATTAATGAAGGTGCTTATGCAAAAGTGCGCAAAGGACCTAATGCTTGGTTGGCCACACTGGCCACATCACTCTGCGGCCACGGAGGCGACCAGGAGGCAAGACCGTGTCGTGGGTATAACATACGAAGCTTAGGGCTGGCCTGGGGAGGCACGCTCACATCATGCAGTGAGTGAATGACGGGAATTGCACCGTGGCACACAACAAGAGCGGTCGAGACAGCTTGCCGCAATTGCAAGTCTCGGGGTACCCAATGAGGGAGGCCGCAGTGCTCCAAACATGTTGTTCCTTCCGTCCTGAGGAGGTCGAGGGCGTCGTTCAGGATGCTAGGTCGCCTGGGCACAGCATTCCTGGCATGTACTACCAAGCTAGACCACATGACACACAATGAAGCTACATGGCGCTACACAGCGGGATTCCACATGGGGGCTACCTGAAGATCATATGCAGTCAGAGAATCATGCGCTCATGAACATCACTTTGAGCCATCATCCTTACATGAGCGTGTGTAGTCCAATGGACATACTTGGCACCATGGCCATGTTGTACGACAGCCCCTTGGCTCATACATGGGCACCATGTGCCACCTCATGAGACCCTCGTAGCCCATTGGCTGAGCAAACATTGCTCGTCTCATGCTACCTGTAACATGCAAAAACATGTGTGAGCGCAGGCTCAGGTCTTCTTTTTTCTTCTATCGTTGCGAACTGCATTCTCATCACCAGCTTGGCGCGTCCTTGCTTCAAGGCAACATTACGACGCCCATGGGACATGGGTTGCAGATATTGCAAACACATTTGCATTGTGGTCGGCTCACGAACAAGGCCCCGTAACGTGATCACGCGTTAAAGCGGAAAGACAACTGCGGGCATTGAAATTATGAGCACGGAGAAACATTTGAAGCCGCTCGCTAGCGGTGGGGCCCACTAGCCTGGTCAGGAGGGCCCAGTAGGACCCCATTTTCCGTGGCCCCAAGAGGCATGCCTGGGGCACCGGGAGGCAACAGTTGGCATCGAGGATGATGAGGTGGAAAGTTTCCGCCACCAGGCTGCTGCGTACCTGCTGCAGGGAGACTTCATCCTGGAAGTTGAAACCTGGTGGGACCCTTAGGCCCCATTGTTTCTCCCCGAGGTCCCTGCACTTAATGCCTGCAAGGGTGGCCCGGAGGACAATACGACAACATTGGAGAGCCAGGGAGATGCATGCAGCGGGAGGCAGGGCCGGGCCTTCCAACATGGCAGTCAATGGGACTGCGCGTTCCGCGACGACATAATGCGCTTGGCACAAACCATCCTCTCCAAGGGATACCCAAATAGAGCCGCTGTCGAAGACGCGGGCAAAGGCTGCAGGACATGCGGCAGCGCTTCGGACTTCGTTGACATTGTCGGCATCACTCTCCGCCAGCTTTATTAACACCAGGCTTGCAACAGGCTCCTCCCCTTTCAGGTGGTACACTTTGCGGAACCCACCTTTGAGCTCCGGTGCCCTGCTAGACCCCAAAACCGACAGGTTTCGCCCTTTCACATCCAGGACGAGGCGAAGGTCATTAGGGAACATATCATGGCCCGTCAAAAACCCTGATGCACGCAAGAGCTTTATTGATGGCCATGTCTCGACGTTGCTGGGAGTTGCGCCTTGAGTGACATCCTGATCCGGAGCAAGGGAGATGGCGGGGCCACTGCGCTGACTGGCCAAGCAATT